TCAAACACCTCTTCGTTTTTCCTGGTGGCCCTGGGAGCAGCATGTCACACAGAACACCCTCCTCCTGTCCAATCAGCTCCATTAGCAAATGTTCATTGCAACTGAACCATGGTCTGGTTCAAGGCCCTTGGTTTATCGCACACCATCATCACTGAATCCTCATTGGAACTCCTCTGGGATATCCCCTAGCTGCCCTGAATCATGGAGATCCTGCCGGCACTGTTACACAGGACCCGTCCCTTCACGAGCTCCAGCAGGTCCCAGATGGGGTACATACCAGGGTGGGCCAACCCAAGACCTGGCTATGGGCCTGGGTGGTAGCTGAGCTGGTCATTCTGGGCCACTGGGGCCACCTGCCTCAGTTGAAGGGGACAGAGCCAGTTTCCCTAAGCCCATGCCATCAGGGTCGATTCTTCCTTGCCTGTGGGAAGGGTGGCACCATCTCTGAGATCAGGGGTCAGATCTCCCATGAGGGTTAAGATTATCTCTCTTACCGTACTATCCAGTGAGAGACAGGGGCAGCTTTCACTGGGTCAATGAAGGGCGGGGCTGGCTGAGGATGAACCTCTGATTTTATCACACATGGTTCCTATGGCCTCCTGAGGTGACACAGGCCACAGACATCAACATAGACCCTAGCTGCAGCTGGACCACAGACCTTCACATGGCCCTTGGCAACAGCTTGTGCCTGGACGACACCCTGACTCTGGGTGGAATCACTAGCTACTCAGATTGGGATGGCTGTGGTGGAGGCATGGCCTCTGAACACCACCAAGGCCAGAGGTTGCAGCCCCAGCCCCAGCTTCTGGGCAGCCTTTGTTGGTAATATAGGACTTGGACTTCATCACAGAGCCCAGCTGCAGTAGGACCACAGACCTAGACATGGTCTTAGGCAGCAGTCAGGTCTGGATGTCTCCATTGCCACCTCTCAGATTGGCATGGCCCCAGTGGTAGTGTGGCCCTTGGTCCCAGACCTCAGGTGTCCACATGTCCTTCGATGTTGACAGGATTCTTAGACATCAACACAGACCCTGGCTTTAGTAGGGCCATCGACCCAGACATGGCCCTCAGCTACAACTCTGGCCCAGACATCACTGTGGCATTGGGTAGCAGCACAGGCCACTCAGATCTGCGTGATCCTGGCTGCATCATGATCCTTGGACACCAACATGGACTCAGGTGGCTGACTTGACCCTGGGCATCTACATGACCCTTGGTGGCAATAGGAGCCACATACGTCCACCTAGACCCTGGCTGCCATAGAGCCATGGACCCAGATATGGTCCTCAGCAGCAGTCTGGGTCTGGATGTCACCCTGGCCCCAGGTGGCAGCAGAAGGCACCCAGATCAACATGGCCCCAGTGACAGTGTGGACCCTGGATACAAACATGGCCCCAGGTGGAGGCCCAGATCCCTGGAATCAGCATGGCCATCAATGGCAACAGGAGCCATGAACATCAACACAGACCCTAGCTGCAGTAAGGCCACAGACCCAGAAATGGTCTCCAGTTGCAGCCCTGGCCTAGACCTCACCATGGCACTGGCAGCATGTGTCACTTATATTTGTGTAGCCCCAGCTACAGCATGGCCCTTGGGCACCAACATAGTCTGTGGTGGCTGATAAGACCCTGGGCAACCACACAGGCTTTGGTTGAACCAGGATCCACAGACATTGACTTAGACCCTGGCTGCTGTAGGGCCACAGACCCAGACCTGGCCTTTGGCAGCAGCCTGGGTCTGGACCATACCAGGGCCCCCAGTGGCAGCACAGGTCACACAGTCCAGCATGGCTCTGGCAGTGGCATGGCCTTGGGACACCAACAAGGCCACAAGTTATGGCCAGACCTGAAGCTTCCATGTGGCCTTTGGTAGCAACATGGGCCACAGACATTGGCACAGACTCTGACTGATGTAGGGCCACAGACACAGACATGGTCCATGGCAGCAGCTCAGTCATGGATGACACCATGGCCCCAGGTAGCAGTACAGGCCAATCTGATCAGTATGGCTCCAGCAGTGGCCCTTGGACACCTACATGGCCTCAAGTGGCAGCTCAGATACTGGGCATCCTTGTGGTCTTTGGAAGCAACATAGGTCATAGGCATCCACACAGATTCTGGTTGTGGTAGAATCAAGGACCCATACATGGCCCTTGGCAACAGCCAAGCCTGGTCATCACCATGGCCCCAGATGGCAAGCAGACCTCCCTCATCAGCCTCCTCCTCACCACCTTCATTTCTTGCATTCTGCCTCTTTCCACAGCACATGAACTATTCAGCTTCTTTTTCTCTCCCATTTCTCCACCACAGGTTTGCTCATCATGATAGGACTCACCTGCCTGGCATCACAAAGCACCAGGCAGGCCCAGGGATGTCTTCCTGCCAGCCAGGGCCTTGAGAGCCCCGGCTGGCCTGAGGCTGGCCTGAGGCTGGCCTGAGGCTGGCCTGAGGCTGGCTAGCCACTGCCTGATCAGAACTGCATGGGGCATTGAGGGGAGGCAGTTTGGATGTCTTCCTGCCAGCCAGGGCCTAATTTTCTGTCTTGGTGATAGTCATTCTGATCCAGCTGAGATAGAATCTTAAAGAAGTTTTAATTTGTGTTTCTTTGATAGCTAAAATTTATTTATTTAAAAAAAATTAAATTCATTTTACATACCAACCACATATCCCCATCTCATCCCTCATCCTGCTCCCCCCCAAAGCCCCTTATCCCTTCCTTCAAAAGGGTAAGCTCTCCTATGGGGGGACAGCAAAGCCTGGTACATTCAGTTGAGGCAGGACCAAGCTCCTTCCTCCTGCCTCAAGGGTAAGCAAGGTGTCCGACCATAGGTAATGGGCTCCAGAAAGCCAGCTCATGCACCAGGGATGGATCCTGATCCCACTGCCAGGGGTGCCTCAAACAGACCAGCTACACAACTGTCTCTCATATGGCAGAGGGCCTAGTCGGGTCCCAGGCAGGCTTCACATTTTCTGCTGCTCCTGTCTTCTCAGGCAATTAGCCTACTTGCTGGTTGGCTTGCTCTTATTTATTTATTTAACATCCCAACCACAGTTTCCCCTCCCTCCTCTCCCGCTTCCCTCCCCCCCCTCCTCTCTACTCCCCCCCCCCAATCTATCCACTCCTCTACTCCCCCCCCCCCCCCTCTCCCCCCCCCCCCCAATCTATCCACTCCTCCTCCAATTTCTACTCAGAAAAGGGCAGGCCTCCCACAGAAACAAATCAAGGCATATCAAGTTGTAGTAAGACTAAACACCTTGCCTAGCATTAAGGTTGCGCAAAGCAACCCAGTTTGAGGAATAGGGTCCCAAAAGTCAGCAAAAGAGTCAGAGACAGGTCCCGTTCTCCCTGTTAGAAGTCTCCAAAGAAGACCAAGCTACACAACTGTCACACATATACAAAGGGCCTAGGTCAGTCCCATGCAAGGGTTTTTTTGATGTTCAACTTCTGCAGGCTTTTCATAGGCTTTAGACACCAATCTCTAGTCTGGTATAAAACTGGCAAAGTCATCTTTCTATTCTATAAGCTCTTTCTTAACTCTCTTGATCATTTTGTTTGCTGTGAAGAAACTTCATATAGTCACATTTGGTAAGTTTTTGGATCATATCCTGTGCTGTGGGTCTTTTCCAGAAAGTCCCCTATCTCTGTTAGCTTTTTACTTATGATTTCCCCTGACAGTTTCAAAGTTCCAGGTCTCATGATTAGTTCTTTGATGCTTTTTTTTTGTTTGTTTGGTTTTTTTGTTTTTTGTTTTTTTTTTTTTTTGGTTTTTCGAGACAGGGTTTCTCTGTTTTTGATGCCTTTTTAATTGATTCTGTGCATGGTGAGAGATATGGATCTAGTGTCATTTTCTACATATGGATTTTCAGTTTTTCCAGCACCATTAGTTTGGGTTTGTTTTGTCTCCATTTTATATTTTTCATTCTTTTGTTAAAAATTGGGTGGCTGTAGGTATGTATTTATTTCTGGGTTCGTTATTCGTGACCATTTGTCTGTTTGACTGTGCACCAGTCCCATACTGTTTATGTTTTATGGTTTGGTGGTGTAATTTGAAAGCACAGATTGATTGCTTAACAATTGCCTATTCTTCTAATGTAGTGGTTCTTAACCTGTTTGTTGTGATCCCTTTGGAAATTGCCTATCAGATATCCTGCATATCAGATATTTGCATTATAATTTATAACAGTAGCAAAACTACAGTTATGAGGTAACAATGAAAATAATTTGATGTTTGGGGGTCACCACAGCATGAGGGACTGTATTGGATGGTTGCAGCATTGGGAAGGTTAAGAACCACTGTCTTAAGAATTGTTTTGATTACGGGGGTCTTTTAATTCCATATGGATTTTAGTATTGTTTTCCTAGTTATGTGATGAAAAACATTATTTTGATGGGGATTGCATTGAATATATAGATAACATTCAGTAAGTTAGCCATATTTTCATAATATTAATTATATAAAATCATTAGCATTGGAGAGAGAGAGCCTTTCTCTTCTATTATCTTCCTTAACTGTTTCAGTATCTTAAGATTTTCTTGTACATCCTTGGTCAGGGCTATCTGTAGATTTTTTTTTAAAGCTATTATAAGGGGTGTGGGAAAACCTTTGTTTAAATAGCTATTTTTTTTTTTTTGAGCTGAGGATCGAACCCAGGGCCTTGCGCTTGCTAGGCAAGCGCTCTACCACTGAGCTAAATCCCCAACCCTAAATAGCTATTTTTACAATTAATTAATTAATTAAGTTTTATGTGTGCTGGTGTTTTGTCTACATGCTTGTACACCAAGTATATGTCTAGTTCATTTAGAGACCAGAAGAGGGCATTTCATTCCCTGAAACTGGAGTTTCAGATAGATGTGAACTACCATATGGGTGTTGGGAATAAAACCCAGGTCCTCTAGAAGAGCATCTAGTGGGTTTACCTGCTCAACCATCTCTGTTCAGCCCCCTAAGCTGTTTTTAAAAGACCCATCCTTCTGAGTAGAAGAGGCAATGTCTGATTGTAATGACTGGGCATAGTCTTGCTTAATAAAACAAGGTAATGACACTGTCTTAAAGGGCCTGAGGTCTGCAATTTAGAAATCCATCAGTCAGGGCATTGTCTTGGCAAGCTGTTTCCGTGTCTTTTCCAGGAGAAATGATAGAGATTGAAACTCAGAGTATGTTGTTCTGAGATGAGGAATATAAAATGAAAACAGTTATTCCTACTGCTACATATACAATGTGTGAAAGAAGACAGCAGTTGACCTGATGTTTACGTTTTCGTTAGCCTGTTACATTTTCCTCTGAGAAAAACTTCTCCATCTGGAATTACTTATTTGTTTGCTTGTTTTGGTTTCTCTGCTAGGCTGTAACCTCTGTAAGAGCAGGAATCTTGTGTCTGTTGTTTACCTTTGTATTTTCTGTTATCAAGAACCAAGTAACGGTATAGGTACCAATCAATTGACTTATCCACGTAAGTACTGTGCATTCGTCAGTGGCTCGTATGTACCAGGCAATGTGCTAGATCCTAAAGCTATAGTAACAACAGTGAACAAGCTATCAAACTTCTCTACCTGTCTAGCATGTGTGTTGGAAAGATGGGCAATAAGCGACACAATCACTAACTGTATACTGTGCTAGAGAGAGAAAGCTGATAAAGGGGACTAATAAAAACAATATAGATTGCAGATAGGCTAAAGAAGCAGGGAGAGAGAACATTTGAACAGAGTGGCCCAGGGACATAAACCCCATGATCTGTTGAAGACAAAGTGATGACGACTTTGGAGGTCATCTGCCACAGGCCCCCTAGACATTGCTCCTAAAAATACTTCTTTTGTGCTGTTTTTATGCTAATACCTTGCTTTAAAATTTACGTTGGATCAACATGGAGATGGCTTAGTGAGCAAGAACATTTGGGGTTCACCACACAAGGACCTTGCTTGGATCCTTAGCACTCACATACAAGGCTGAATGTGGCTGCGTGAGCCTGTAACTCCATTGTTTGGGAGTGGATACTGAGGGTGGATCACCTTGTTTTCTGACTAGGAAGTTTAGTAAGTAAAATAAATCAAAATCCAAACTGGTAGAACCAGGATCAGTGTAAGAGCCTGATTTATGAATAAGACAGGCATGATAGATGAGGGATGTTTGGCCTCTGGTCTTCACATGTGTGCATACTTGAAAGCTAATACCTTGCTTTAAAATTTACGTTGGGCAACAATTACGGCAACGAATTAAATGACTTTGCCATCAGAAATCTCTCTTTTTTTTTAAATAAAGGTTTTATGAATGTCTTTATAGTGAGATATTTAAGAGTATAAAATACGAAACTGTGGGGGCACACTTGAGCTACAAAGATGGTGCCCAGAGGACGTTAGCTCAAGTTGTTTGCACTGAGAGTAGATACAAGGATGGTGCTGAGAGGAAGTTATCTTGAGTTGTTTATACAGAGATTAGATACAAATGATGCCAAAGGAAGTTAGCTCAAGATAAGATACAAAGACTAGGAGATGATGTCAGTGCATAAACAACTGGTAAACAAGGAAATGAGTATAGGATAACCTTTAAAAGGATTGGTTGCTTCCTCCTTCCCCTCTGAGGTTTTTTGCTATAAAAGAGGCTTACTGCCCAATAATAAATGAATTCTTGCTTGACTTGACTCTCCGCTGCATCTGATTGTCTCTGGGTAAGAGGAAGGCTGGGAAACAGGCAAACAGCACACACTTACTTTTCCTCTGTTCCAGGCCACCTCTTCAGAGGTGACCTAAGTTCCTGGTGGGGCAAGACCCCACATGATACAATGCGTAGCAAGATCTAAATTGTTCAAACTATTTGATTCAGTCTAAGCAAACCCATCTCCAGACTGGCAATGTGAGAGCTGGGTTGGAATCATACGAAGAAGTGTTTGAGGTTGATTTATTACTGTGTTATCTTCACAGATGTCAGCTTTGATGAGTTGGACCTCAGTGTTCAGCACTTGATGACTCCAGTCC